TTTATCCACTATGAGTGACTGTGACTGGAGGTGAGGATTCTGATTGTCCTTCTAGTGGAGCATGACTGCTGGAGACAATTGCAGTCATTGGCTTACAATCACAGTGAGCTTTGCCTCTCAAACAGAACCTTCAGGATTATCTGAGAGTTCTAAAGGATAAACACATTGTATAGGTCTTACAATGATGCCGGATTTTGTTTTCAATTTTACTGTTCTGACAGTACCGTTTAGATCAATAATAATATTGGAGCAGGTACAAGTTACCTTTTTTTCTTCTCCACAGTGGATTGCTGAAAAAAGGATTCCTTTAAAAGAGCTCATTAATCCAGTCATGGGAGGATTCCTACTAACACCTTAAACAACACATTTTATTACTTACATTAAATTTAAATGATAGGAGATTAATTACAAATACGGTAAGCAGTGTTTATTTCTGCTTGCGTTCATTATTGACCTTACTGTCGGTAGTTTATTTTAGCCCTCAGTTCAAAAGAGATGAAACTGGCAAGAAGCTGGCTCAACAACATCCCAAAAGTCCTTATATGGCCTTTATTTTCACACCTGTTGATCATCGATATATACTTCAAACAACAAAAAATATTTTAAGTAGAAAAATATTTCTTTCCTTTTTACTTCTTGTACAAAGTTCCTCAAATGATTTATAACTGATTTAAAATGGATTCAGAAGGTTTTTTTCGTAGCGTCTGTACGTACGTACATATGTACCTCGCATAACTCAAAAACGAATAGCCTCAGAACGTTGAAGTTTTGTATGTAACACTGCTATAACATGTAGTTGTGATGATATAGCAGCCCTTTTTGATTGCAGTCAGCTGCACCAAAAGTGTATAAATCTCTCTCTCTCTCTATATATATATATATATACTCATTCCGTTAATCGGGCCAGCGGGCACAGTTCTTTTCTTATATATTGGCAAATTGTGTATTTTTTGCTTTAAAAATGATTCAATTATGTCATTCTTATCTTCTGGTTAAGGTTGTTATGTCTTTAGTTAATCTGCATGCAATAGTTGTAGAATTACCAACAATTAAAAAGCTGTTTAAGTGCGGCTAAGAGCAGCCATATTTTTTTACATTTGAAACTTGACAGAACAGTGACTTACGTCTTTCTTTTTTATAATGAAAATGTATATTGCATCTTTTTCCATTTCTCTCTGAACATCATAACACGTTTGTACAGAGGGTATTTACACATTTAAAAGAAATTTTGATAAAGGAGAAGCTAAAATTTTCTGAAAATTATCATCTGCTACTTTTTAATTTATTTTTCTTTCAAAATGTAGCATGTAAACAAGCCATTGATTGAAGAATATATTTTTGAACTTTCCGAAGAGAAATAAATATTCCTAATCCAAAATTTAAAAATATTGTGAAATGCATAGTATTAAAATTTTAAAGTGCAAAATAAACAGCATTATTAATTGGAAAGGAAAAACCATCAATCATTACTTCTACATGGAAAAAATACCCGAAAAAGAAATGGAGATTCTTCTGTAAATATGGGACTTAAAACTTAATATCAATCTTTCTCATGTCAAGTTGATTTTAACATTTCCCCCCCCCATCACCACTTTTTTATTTTTTGTCTTTTTCTTCCCATTGTTAGAAAATCCTTCTACAATCATAAACCCCTACTACTGAAACACTCTTCTTACTGTCAGAACCAAGTTTTACACTTTTTTCCTCTTCATGTTCAATAAAAAAACAGACCTTATTTGTTGCAGTCATTTATTTATATGAACCCATGTTCTACATCTGCACATTATCTCATGCTAAATAGTTCTCTGTTGAGTTCGTAGTTTCGTAAAAATTGTTCTCCTATAAGTCTCGTGTCTCAGGGAAACGTTGGTGAACATGTTTTTTTAGCTTTTTTTAAGTTGTAAATCTAGTTGTTACTGTTTCAAACTTCAAACAAATCAAATTTAAAGTCTTACAACTAGTAGTTTTTAGTACTCTGTTACTACAAATACATTTGTAGTAACAATAAGTAAAATAATAAACTAAGATTTAAAAGTTTAAAAAAGCTAAAAATACATGTTCACCAGCATTTCCCCGAGACACGAAACTTATAGGAGAACAATTTCTATGAAACTACAAACTCAACAGAGAACAATTTAGCAGGAGATATGTGCTGATGAAGAGCATGGGTTCATATAAATGACTGCAACAAAGTCTATTTTTTATTGAACATGAAGAGGAAAAAGTGTAAAACTTGGTTCCAACAGTGGGAAGAGTGTTTCAGTAGGGGTTTAAGATTGTAGCAGGATTTTCTAACAACGGGAATAAAAAGACAAAAAAAGTGGGAGGGAGGAAATGTTAAAAATCAACTCGACATACTATCATGAGAAAGACTGATATTAAGCTTAAGTCCCATATTTACAGAAGAATTTCCATTTCTTTATCTCAATGACTTTCAAGAGTGAAATTTCATCAAGACAAATCACCAGGTCGTACTTTGAATAGTACCACTGCATTTCTTGAAAAATTGAAGACCGATACAAGTATCCCATATGTACCTTTTCAACGTATTTCTGTAAAGTTCCCCCGACGCTTCACCAAAAAATATGAATTTGTTTCACATATATACTATTGTGCCTTCGGTCTCTTGAAAGGATCTCTTTAAGCACAGACCTACTATGAATGATGGACTCCGGAAAGCAGAAGAGCAATTTTATGAGAAAACCCTTCTATCTTTGAAACCAGGATGTAGAGTTATAGTTCAGAAAAAAGGCTTTCAAATCAAACATTTAAAAAAAAATACTCTGAACATTTTAAACATTAATTAAATGTCTCCAAAATTGTTCTAAAAATGTTTAAACAACCTCTGTATATTGTATAACAATTATTATATTGCCACAGTAGAAAAGGAAATGCAAAATTAATATAAATAAGCATAAATTTTGTAACTAGCTATACTTTTGTTGCAATTCCAGTCTAACCAAACTGCATATACTACAAATTGTGCAGTGATACACATGGAATATTTATTTAGTTGATCGGAAAGGCTCAAAACATGTTTTTTATGCACCTGACGGCAGGAAAATAGTTTGAAGTTATGGAAATTGCACGATTGTTGTGCAAGAAAATTTTGAAATTTTCTAAGAAATAAAACTGAGGAATAAATTTGTGCAAGCAATAATGTCAAACTTTGAAAATGTTGTGGTTTTATTCTAGTAATGAATGCGATGTTTAGTTTACTCGTCCTAAATTTTAAAAATAAAGTTAATCTTCTTAAGATAAAATGCTTTCAGAGGATTTTGGTGGTTGTCTTATAGAAGTTATGTTAAATATACACGTTTGCATTCTCAGAAATAATAGTCTCTTTCAAACGGGGCTGCAATGACACAGTTCATTGTACGTGGGCTTCTCATGAAATTTTGTAAATGCTCTATGAATGAAGGTTTGGTATTCTTTCACAGTTTAGTACTTCATTTTGTTAACAGACTTAAAGAATACCGAAATCTCTATTACTTGCAATGAATAGAAACGAAAGGGTTGAGGTTGGAGGTGAAACAAAACTAAACATACGAACTAGCATACTTAATCTGTTGTTATGAAGGGAACGAACATCTTAAAAAATTTCTTATGCAAAGTAAACAACAGTAGAAGGAGAAACATTGTCTTTTAGAATAGTCAATGGCAGAGTAGAATGTAATTGAATTAAATGATTAACTAATGTGTAAATGTTTTTTTGTCCACACGAATGATAAGACAAAGTCTGTGACAGCAAACAGTTTATGAGAAATATTTATGCAAAATTCATAATCAGATTTTAAAAGCAAAGTGCAGAACAAAGGAACAGCGTGGTTCAGTTAAACTTTTGAGAATGTCCAGTATGAGGAGGAGGAATTTCAGGTTATTTCTAAAATAAGATACATTGCTTACACTAAACATCAAAGTGCCATTGATATAGCATATCTAAAATTGCAAATCTAACATTCACAAAATTCTACACTCAAGATTATAAATGTAAATATCAGGTTGCCATAGAAATACCTTGTTTATGGGAATTTTCTATTAAAAATGAAACTTATTCATTCAACATTCCTTTTTTAGTTATAGCAACTGCATTACAAGCTTTTCATTCACCTTGCAGAGTTTCTGTTCAGACTATTTTAGATGAAAACATAAAGTTCACATCTGAAGCTGATCTCAAGCATTTTCTACCCTTTGTCCAAAATTGGAATTCCACTTGAAGTGGTTTTTCATAAAACCTTTTGCAATCATCTTGCCACTTTGTGCCTATCAATGTAAAGAAAACATGTTTTTTCATTTATACATTAGCTCATTTGCCTGTCAACTTTCAGAGAGGTTAATATTCTAAATGGTAATTATTGTTCTTAATTGTTATCCTTCTACAGTCATTTAGAAATTTTAGAGATTTTTATTCCCTTCAATTTCAAGCATTAACTAAAAACACTTCAGCTGCTATCATTCATTTGTTCTTCAACTCTCTCCATTCTAAAATAGTTCAAATAACAGAGTTGCTAATCAAACATGCGAATGAAATTCCCAGACTTTTCCAAGTTTCTAGAAACAGCTTCTACATTTGTTGGATTTTCACAGGAATCAAAGGTGATATTTTTGACGATGCACTTAACGGTACAAACTAATGCACGCACAATTTGGGGGGAGCATACCAAAAATATGCCCAATCTTTTAACTAAAATCAATAAATAATGAATTAATGATTATAAGCATTACAAGTGCATATCATTCCAAAATTTTCAAAACTTTTAGTATACATGAGCTACTAAATGATGATTGAGAAAAAACTAATAACATGAAGTTTATTATATATTTTCACACATTTACACATCTGCAAGAAAATTCAAGTCTCATATCTTCGTATTAACATTTACATATTTGAATGTAAATTTAAATCTCAGTCTTAAACATTTAGATACACTTACTTAAGATGAAAAAACCACTAACTATATACATACAAGTGTCTACAACACAATGAACATAAAACAAAATGTACTTAATAAAAATTTAATGCAGACAAATATACAATATGATGCTGAGAATGAATATGATACAATGCACCAGAATCACACCAGAAGTTTTTCAATTTCCTGTTGTAGCGCTTGAATCTGAGGTTTTAATTGTGAACCTTCATTGGCTGTAATGGAACAAGCTATCACAGGTCTAGATACTCCACAAGCTCTACCAAGAGCTAGAATGAAAATGATTGACATAAATCAATTAAATCACAGTTTACATATTTATCATAAATATTTACTCTTACACACAGAATTTTAAAAATAATACACATATAAAAAATATACTTAGGCAGGTATTTTTTAAAACAGATTTAGAAATTAAGATAAAACAAACATGCAAAAATATAACTTACCATGTTTTGATTTCACAAACACATAAGGCACATTCTGTAAAGAAAATAAGAAACAGTTACCACTTGTTTTAAATAAACTACATCCTTTCAATCCACCCTCATACAAAACAGAACTTTAAAAGAATATTATTCTTGAAATGTTATACTTTTAATTAAAATTTTACTAACCAATTTGAAACTAGTTTTATTACAGCAACAAAGAACACTTATACTAAATAAGTATCAAGTTGACAGCAATATTCCTAACATGATTTATACATTCATGAAATGTCATCTTAAATTTGATAATCTTTAAAAATGCTGCAGGTGAAATTTGATATTTAAAAAAAATAATTAAAATTCATGAAAAATATTCCTGGAAGAGATAATTCTAATAATGAATTACATTCCTCTTCACCCAGGAGTGTGTGCATTCTTTTAAGTTACACGAGCACAAGTACTGGGTCCAAAAGATCCGGCTTGTGTTTTTTGAAGAAAAAATTATAAATCTCTGAGTATAAATGTTCCAACAATGAAATTTATGATCCAACTTAAGTACACAAATTAAAATTTTCAACTCCTCCAAATACTTTATGAAATAAAATTTCCAAAAGGAATACAAAAGCATATTACATATTCACATAGAAAAAAAAAATAGTAAACCTCTACTCTGCAGATTCTTTATTTTCTTTATTAGCACCAAAAACACAGAGAAAAGATGCAACAACAAATATTAGCACAACACTGAACAAAGAGCTGTTGCGTGTCCCAAAAAGGAATATTTTTCACCTTTTGCATAGTGTTTTTGTTTTTCTGTCCTTTTTTGCTAAGCAAACATTGCAACTTATTCCTCCCCCCTTTTAAATCTGACTATTTTGGGGGGAGTGGTAGTTGTCCATCACTACTTCTGAAATAGGGATTAAACTTTGTTTGTTCCTTGATGAAGCTCAATGCAAGATGTTTAAGAAACAAACATTTACTTGTGTAGGGCTTTGGAGGACAAAAGGAGTATCCTTGCATTTAATGCATTGGTGTTTAAAAGAGGAGGGTGGTGGAACACTGCCATAAGGCCATATTTTAGAGATTCTGAATGAAGAATAGAATGCTGACAACCTGTTAATTCCATCTACAGCCTCTTTTAGCTTCTTGTATCTGCTTCTTTCAACATCGATAGTGTCATTGCAATGAAATAACAGACTGATACATTTATTTTTTGGGAGACAAAAGAAACCAAAGCTGTATCATTTTGAAAGCGAAAATTGATTGAAAACACTTCTTGATTTTAAATGGAAACAAACTTTGCTGGTAATTCTCTTTTGTTCTTTCTAATTATTGTGATGACAGTTACCTTTTTTTTTAGCAGAATCTTTTGCAACATTGTAGCTTGTACGAGGTGTATTCGGGAACTAAGTACCGTTTTTGAAAAAAAAAAAAAAAAAAAAGTAAAACAATTTTTTCGAATCCAATTTTATTTTTACATGAAAATACATGTCTTAAACTATTTTTCAACAGTTTCCATCAATGATCAAACACTTGTCATAGCGGGTGACCAGTTTTTGTATACCATCGTCAAAGAAACTTCCCGCCAGTTTCGATAACCACAACTCCACAGCATTTTTCGTGTCATCGTCAGATCCAAAGCGCTTCATGTGCAGGAACAAGTGATAGTCGAACGGCGCCAAGTCCGGGCTGTATGGCGGATGATCGAACTGCTCCCAATGAAACTGTCGAATTAACAATTGAGTGACACCAGCAGTATGGGGCCGAGCATTGTCATGGAGCAACACAATTCCTTTACTGAGCATTCTTCTTCGTTTGCTTTGAATGGCACGCCTTAGTTTTAAGAAAGAAAGAAAGGGAAGTCTCACAATATCGTGCCGCATTAATGGTTTCACCTCTGGGAAGAAATTCAGTAAGCAAAACGCCTTTCCTATCCCAGAAGACAGTGAACATGAGTTTTTGTGATGGTATTGTCACTTTGAACTTTTGTTTTTTCGGAGAATGAGTGTGTCTCCACTCCATCGATTGTTGTTTCGATTCTGGTGTGAAATGACACACCCAAGTTTCATCACTTGTCACAATTTGGTTTAAAATGTTTTCTCCCTAATCACTGTACCGAGTGAGAAATGTCAGGGCACTACCAAGTCGCTTTGTTTTCTGAACATCAGTGAGCGTTTTTGGAACCCATCGGGAACACAGTTTGCGATAATTCAAGCGGTCAGATACAATTTCGAACAAAACAGCACGTGAAATTTCTGGAAATGTCTCTGAAAGAGTTGTGATTGTGAAGCGTCTGTTCTCATGAATTGCTTCATCAACTTTCCTTACCAAATCAACGGTGACAACAGAAGGCCGACCACTCCGAGCCTCGGCGTGGACATTTGTTCAACCTGCATTAAACATTCTTACCGACTTTCTCACCATTCCATCACTTATCGCGTATTCACCGTAAACTTCTGTCACTTGACGATAAATTTCGGCCGGTTTAACATTCCTCGCGTTCAAAAATTTAATCACGGCACGAATCTCACAGTCAGCGGGAGAACTAATTGTCTTAAACATTTTGAATGGGGGGGGGGGGGGGGGGCGGGGGGGGGGGGGGGGGGGGGGGGGGGGGGGGGGGGGGGGGGGGGGGGGGGGGGTGCACAGCAAACTGAAAACACAACATAGAGCAACCAAAATGGCGACAATTGAAAGTCAGTGAACAAGAAAGACTAGCGCGCATACGCGGGACGCCTACCACAGCACTGCGACGGCGCTAGAATGAAACGGTACTTAGTTTCCGAATGCGCTACGTATACCAATACCTATTGTGATGATTCAATCAGATATATAAAGATTTGGGCACAGTCCTTTAAGATTTCATCAGGCATGTTTTCAATACAATTCAGACCTTGCGGTTGCAAACCTGCATAAATTTCCAAATTCCATGTATAAAAGGTTCTTGCATCAACTAATGCAAAAATTTTTACTCCATATCTCGCAAAATTGTTAGGAATGCATTAAATAAAAAAGCATCTTCTTTGGAAAGCTACGTTTCATCACTTTACGTCTAAAAACATTTATGTAAAACATGTCATGTACAAACTCACTTACAGTGTAACATTTCTGGTAGTTATTCACAAAATCTTTATTTAAAAAAATCAGTTTTAATGTAAAAAAAAGAGTGCCCTTTGGTCTGGCACCAAATATCGAAGCCGTTACCGGTTTTCTGGTAACCAAAAATAGATCTTGTTTTCCCAGTATTATGGCAGGCATTTTTTGTTACGTGACAACTTTTTTCTTAAGTTTAATCTGACCGAACTTCTTAGTTTAGTAACTGAGGGCTGCGTGATTTGTAGTACCACTTATTTTGAATTTTGCCTGTATTTTTAAATTATTAGAATTTTAACTGCCTTTAATTGATCTGCAGTATTCGTTAGCTTGCTGGTTCTTATTAATCACTGTCCCGTCATGTTCCCCAAGAAGTACGTTTAGTAAGGTAGTCATTTTTTTTCCGTGATTTAGAGCGAAAGGGTAAGAAACTGATTGGTGTATGAATGAAGATTTAATTAGTTTTCGTCAAGTTCACGTTTGTAAGAAAGCTATGCATCTGGTCAAGCTTAAGGAATAATTGACTGGCTATGAGTGAGTTTTTTGCGAGAAAGGCGCTCATACAACACCACTGAGGGCATTTTGTGCGAGATTTTGCAATCTTCGGATGACAATCTGTATTTCTACTTTACGGAGTTTATGTGGTGTTGCCAATACCAGCATTAGGAGAAAGAGGATCAATTGCAGTCAATTTCTTGTGATTATCAAAACAGATGAAAAGAAAAATGTCTCAAAAGAAAAACAAAGGAAATTCATCATAATGATATAAAATATGCTTATTCTGTGCTAAAAGCATTTACATATATTTTTATTTTGACACAGACTCTTGCCCGATTGTCAGCAGTTTGCCAAGACATAGAAAAAACTTTAATTTCCCGAAAAAGAAACTGTGCACTGCATAGTAGAATTGCACGACATTGAATGAAAAAGAAAAGAACAAAGAACATGGCTTGAACTCGTGTGCCCATTTGAATAGTTTTATACATAAATGATAAATTTTGAAAACTTGACTAATTTGAAAAGTGTGCATACATTAATTAGTGAATTGTGTAGTAGAATTGCACAACATTCTGAGTAATCAAGAAAAGAATACAGAACATAACTTGAACTCATGAGTCTATTTCAATAATTTTTAAGATAAATTATGAACTTTGAAAACTGTTAACTAATTGGGAAAATGTGCATACATTTATGAGATTCTCTAATAAAGAAATTCATAGAGTATGAGTTGTTCATTTAATGCAATAAAAGTTCTTGCATATCTAATTGATATATATGATTTCAGGCTGACATCAAGAAATTCAAATTTACTTAAGCCAAGTCATTTTGATTTAATTTAGAATATTTAGTGTGAGATTATAGGATGCTCGAACTGACATTACTTGGATATGAAACAGAATATGAATTATTTCTGATATTTTTGAATTCCTCTGAACTTATGGATAAAGCTGATCACCTTTAAGATACTTCAGTATTTATTTTATTAAATATTAACTTGAACTGAATAATATTGAATGATACTCCACTGAATAATGCTATTTTGAAATCAAAACATTAATGTTTTAAATTTATCATTGTATATGTAAATATATCACTGTACATCATGAATATTCGTTAAGATTTATTTAAATTTTACATAATGGAAGCTTTTGTTAAACTGTGAAGTGCTCACCATAGTTCTTTAAAAAAAACTAAGTAACAAAATTTTTATATTTTAAAATTAGAAAATGACTCTGAACCATATGACAGTTTATTGGCAAAGCTGCCCCCCCCCAAAAAAAAATATACAGTAAAATATAGTCAGATGCTAAAGATATACTTGATCAACATTACAGTAATGTTAAATATATCTAAAAAAATGTTTGATAAAGAGACTTTTAAGGACAAAAATTATTTATAAAATTAAAAAAGCCTAAAGGTTTTTAAGGACCATAAGAAATTATATATTAGGTAATAAGGGACACAGAATGTTATTAAATAAACAATAACTGTCCTTTTCGAAATGCAGTTGGCCTTTGTGGTATGCGTAGTCTAGATAAATTCAGCTTATTATTATAAAAAAAACTTTATCAAAAATTACATTAAACATTTTCGAAAGTTCTATATGTAGTTACTATCAGTTTTGCCTCTCATTTAATATATTTTTTATTTCTATCAAGTTATCAAGATGTGTACAATAATTTGGAACCTCTGCTCATAACTAATTTCCAAAGCCTCCAAATTGGATAAACTGTTCATGTATCATACATTTGTGTATCAAATAAGAAATCTATTATGTTAAGATCATATGATGGTTTAGGAGAAATGTACACAAAACATGTTTATTTTCAGTTCTTTCTCTAATTTCAGAGAGCATAACAAAAATGAATATGTTAATTCAACATTAATACCTTCTATTACATTCTTAATACTTATTAATGATATGGGGAGGGACTTCTATTATATTAAAATACTTTATAATTTTTTTTCCATCAACAGAGGCCAAAATTTGTTCCTCTCAAACACCTGAAAAGTCCACATATACAAATTTCTATTGGAATGGATTTCCTCCCCCCCCCTTGCTAAGTAGAATGCTACAGCATTAACCATAACATAATTAACTGAAGTGATTACTTCTCTCTTGGAGATAGCTGTACAGTTTACTATTGGGGCAGGATTGCAACTGTGAGCATCAATACATTCCTGTACTTCTCAGTATTTTTTATTATTTGAGCATTTCCTATTTCTTAAATCAATCAGTTTTAAGATGCAATAGCTTTAATTTAGGGTAAAAAATATAACACAGCATTTACTTCTTCTTGGTTTAATACCTTACATCTTTTGAACATTTTGAAATGAAGCGATAGAATAGCAGCAACATGTTTTCACTATCTTAGGAAGGATAAAATGAGCTATCTTAGATGTGAGGCAGCCCTCCAGAAGCATATATGCTAAACAAAGGTAAGAAAAGGTGCATTCATAAGAGACCTACTTTAGTTGCTTCAAAAGAATAACTGACATGAGATTTAACAACTCCTGAAACTAATGAGTCATGCATTAACATGATGGGGGAAAAGCACCAGGTAGAATATGGACAGAGGTGTTTAGGCAAGCAGCTGATGTCTGGATGTACGGGCAACTTCACTGTGAAACATTTAAAAAGTTCAAACAGATATGACAATCCACCAAAAAATATAAATACTACCATAAAATTCTGATTAGAATAAAATTAGAAAAAATTTTCAGATATATATATACACACATTACCTTATCTTCACAAAGCAGAGGCAAATGCAAAAGAATTTCTAATGGTTTTGCATCAGCAGCCATAACAATTACTTCAGCTAGACCCCTATTTAATGTTTTGGTTGCTAAAGAAAGGAAAAAGGTAAACTTTAGTAAATAATAACAAATAACTAAACCAAACTGAAAATCATAGAGGAAAACTAAACTTCATACGACTTATTAACTGATGAATTGATGTATGTTAAGATACTGCAATAAAAAATATGAATAATTAAAATTATTTCATTAGTAACGTAATTTCAAACAAAAAATAGTTATATTAGAAGACAAGATCATAATAAAAACTGCTTGAATTTTCATTTAATAACAAACATTTGGTTTAGCTCTTTTAAGTGCAAAAATTAAGGGAAAAAACTTTAAAAAGACATCTTTACTTTATAAAGATTTTGAAGCTTTATTCTACATCAGGATAAGTATCAGATAGAATTTTCTTAATGTTCAGTGGGGTTGCAGTTTAACTTCTTTAGTCAAAACATTTTGGTCTTATTCATAGATGTGTAATCTTCAGATATATACTATTCTAGCCTGAAGTATCATTACCACTTAATGGCAATAAATGGAAATCAAACAAGTTTTTGCCATTTTCACTATCCAATTTATTTTCAAGTTCTTTGTGATGATTTCTTTGATATCAGCTAGATGGTTAAAAATAAATTAATTTGATAATATATTAATCATAGTTATTAGCCTAAACTTGCATAATGTAAAAATATTATATTAAATGCTTAATTGTTCAGTTAACACAAAACTTAATATCATTTAACTCACCCATGCTGATACCACAAATAACAATTTTACATCAAGTGAAGTTTTCCCACACTAATTTTTCACAGTACAATTAGAAGTGTAAAAGTGCATCGAATCTTTGAATGGATTTTGACAAACTTACTACATTTAATCACATTTGACTGTATGACCAGAAAACACAGAGGTAAATTTCTGGTATTTAGGAAGAAACCAGCTGCAATGTAACACAGAAAAATCTTTTAAAGGGTTAAAATTAAAATTTGAAGCAAATGTCAATTAAGCACTATTTGCATTGTTCGCTTCTAAGAAGAAGACATTTTTCAAAAATACACTCATGTCCATAAATTAAGGATAATGCAAAATCAAGCAAAGGAAGAGTTAGAAGCAAAACAAATTTGACTTATTTGTAAAGCTTATTTATTAAACAAAAGGTAAAGAGCAAAAAAAAAGATGCTATAGGTTTGATATTATTAAAAAAATTAGCGATTTTTTCTCCCTGGAGCAAAATACAAAAACCCCCTATTTACAAAAACCAATATTACATGGTTGGTATGATTGATAATACATTGTATGTCTCCCAGACGATGCAATACAGTCCGTACAACGCTTGGCATGCTGACTATCAAATTATCGATCTGATCTTGGGGGATATTACACCACACAAAATGGAATGCTCTCCAAAGTTCCGGTAGACATATAGGAGGAGGTTGACGGGCTGCAAATCATCGGCCAAGCATATCCCACACGTGCTCTACTGGATTCAAGTCCGGAAAATGCTGGCCAGTCCATATGGGTGATATCCTCCGATTGAAGGCATTCACTTACGATGTTTGCACGGTGAGGACAGGCGTTGTCATTCATAAACACAAATTGTGCGCCCATGGCGCCCCGAAACAAACGTACATGTTGTTCCAGAATGACGTCCCGATAGATTTGGCTTGTCATGGTTCCAATTTGAACATGCAGGTCAGTTCTGGAACCCAGAATAATTTCACCCAAACGAGCACTCCTGCACCATCGTAATGGTGTCGTTCAATGATGTTTTCTTGGTCCTAACGGGTACCTGGAGCTCTCCATATGAAAGTCCGGCGAGAATCAGACTGCAAGCTAAACCTAGACTCGTCGGAAAACCTCACACAAGCCTACTGTTGCATTGTCCACAATGCATGCTCTCTACTCCAGGCTAACCGCAGGCGACAGCGAGTTGCAGTAAATGGAATGCATCTGACAGGTCTACGAGCATATAGACCAATCTGCCCTAAGCATCTGTACACGGTCCGCCTTGAAATTGTCGTACCAGTGGCTGAAGAGATCTGACGAGACAGGTCTGAGGCTGTGCTCCGCCTGTTTCTTTTGGCAGAAACTGCTAAATACCGGTCCTCATTCGGCGTTGTAACTCTGGGGCGACCTGTGTTGTAACGTCTACACACATTACTATCATCTTGGAATCGTTGCCAAAGCCTGGAGATGACACTCTGAGCAATTCCAAGTTCGTCTGATACTTCCAGTTGGGAACGCCCACATTCCAGAGGGCTGATAATTCTACCACGTAAAAAATCATCCAAATGCGTCCTTGTGTCATAACTATTCAGTTATTGCACTGAAATGCTTATAAAGCGCCTGCGAACAATTTCACTTCTTTGCCTGTATTCCTTATATATCACTCTCTTACACTCTCGTCATTGTGACGTACCATCAGTGTCATCTGGTTATTTCCTGAAATTTGCATATGATTCTTGAAGATGTGTGTAGTGATTTTACAGGTGATATATTTATTTTAGAGTTCGATTTCCGCGTGACTCCGAATTATCCTTAATTTATGGACATGAGTATATTTACAAATTATTATTATGCTGGTAAAAGTAAGTAATGAAGGAAATTATGCTGTACAAATATTTTTGAAGGGCTGAAAAATGTATTATTTTATTTCTCTTCCCAAAGGGACAGAATTTTCTTGGTAAACCTTATACATGCGCACAAGTGTCACTTGAATTAAACTAGATCTGTATCTTGCCAATAAATACGATGTCCAAGTTACCACTATTCAGGAGACTAAACTGAAAACTTCATACCAACTTAAAAGACTGCTGAATTCTATGACAAGACAGATATTCTAAATGTGTTTGATGTTTTTACCATGAAATGCAAATGACATCACAACAGTAAATACTCCAGAAAATTCTGACTGGAGAGACTAATACTCTTTCACACCCTGCTGTTGCTGTCTGCAATGAAAATGAAGCCACTAGTATGTTAGAAAGGAATTATCAAAGAGAGAGTCAACTTACTACATTTAATCACATTTGACTGTATGACCAGCTAGATATTTTTTTCACTATCGCTTTTATTCCCCCAGTGGCTGTGCCTTTTTTAACAGGAAATTTACTTATCCCTAGATAAGTTTAGTAGTTATGAACTTAAGTTAGATATCATTTTTAATGATACTGATTTTAGTAAACCATTTTATTGGATTGAATTTGTGGACATTTGTACACCAAATATGAGCCAATCAATCAAAAAAGGGGGGCTACTAAATATACAGTCTCAAATAGATTTGGTGCATTTTAAATTGGGTTAGCAGGATTGAAGTCATAAATCAGGAGTCTTTCTAGGAGCCTTAAGAGATTCTGGAAGAACTATTACATATGGAATGCAATAAGTAATACTGGAAAAATCATGGAGTCAAAAATGAAATAAAAGGAGTCAATAATAAAATGTCTCAAAAATGAATTATTACTGGAAACAATTATGCCCAATGATGAGCGATTTTATAAATTTAAAGAAACTCTGGAAACTATCACATTAAATAGGCTAATGAATAAACTAAACTTGGATGGCAATTACAAAGATGTGAATGAGTTGACTGAACCTCACTCAGTACTTCAGTCAAATGAATTCTTAATTGAGCAACAAGAGTTAAATAAAATACACCATGAAAGTGAGAAAAAAGCTGATAAAATCGGCTTTGACAATCAAAAACACTAACAGTCTTCATGCATGTGTCTGTGTGTGTAAACAAGAATAATAAAACCCACACATAATATTACAAAAGTTCATGCACAATGCATGGCAGGTGCATAACTGCAAAGTACGCAACCTTCACATGCATTTTTCAGGATCCAATTATGTGCAAAAGTCGGGGCTGCTTGTACATTTTTTCAGTGCATCTTCAAGCATGTATCCGTGTGTAAACAAGAATAAGCAAACCCACACATAGTAATACAAAAGTCTGTACAAAATGCATGGCAGGAGCATAATCGAAAAGTACATAACGTTCACACACATTTTCAGAATCCAATTATAGGAGATCAAGGGCTGCTTGTATTTTTTTCATCTTTCATTATTACTTTATGCAGTTAATGTAAAAAATAATTGTAACTATAATTTTCTCACAATTTACTTTTCTCTTTAACATTTTTGTTATTAATATATATTTCATTTAGTGATTTTCTTTCACTGTACAAAATTTTCCCTATTTCTCTTCTCTAAATAAAAAATTTGTCAATCATTCTATCTAACTTAACATAAATAAAAACTTTCATTAGGAGCCCTGTTAAATGGCACTACACAATCACGAAACTTTAAGAGACAGGTTCTAAAGTATGACATCTGATCCTTAGAAATATTAATTAATATAAATGCTGACATACAGGATATGTATTGCATTACAGAATTTAAATGTTAAATCCATAATGTTATAATAGGTAATTAAACAACTTATTATACTATAATTTCACTAATTTTTATACTTACATAAATATTAAAATTAACAAGTACGATTTTATTACTTTTTACACATTTTATTAACTATAAAGATGAAAAATCTGCTCAACAAACTGATTAAGGTGTGATACTGATATATACTGGTGACATTTTAAAGTGCAAATAAATTTATTCAGCACATAAATTTAAATTTGAAATTTTTCTTGGATCTTAGGGCCATAAATAAAAACTTTTTTCCATTTTGGATCACATATAACCAGGGCTGTGGAGTTGGGCAGATTTTTGGGTAAAAGGAGTCAGAGCTGAATTCGCTAAAAACAGGTCCACTTTGAATCCAGTTTTTGTTGGACAGTTTGAATTTAAATTAAATTAAAATGAATTTTAAAAACATTAATGACAAGCTGAGTTATTATTTTTATTTATGGACTGTATACATTAATAAATAGTTTTTTCTATTTTATTGACAGATTAATAAATAAATATAAGGGAGGAGGATGGATGTGATATTTGCCATTAGTGATTAAACTGATTGACTTAGTTACAAATTTCACTGGTAAATTTAGGTAAGCAGCAAGAACTCTGAAAATTGAAGCCATTCTTGGGAAGCCAGCAGGAAAAGAAGTAATTATTGATCGAGCAACGTGATGGGGAAGTACATATTTGATGATAAAGAGGTTAGAATTTAAGAACTTTTCTAGAAGATGTAGATAACCCTAATGTTTCACTAATAGAAAGACTGTGGAATGATCCTGCAGAATTGGAAACTCTTTTTTCTGCACAAAAAAAGCTACAATCTGAAGAATTCACAGGAGGCGAGAATGGAAGAATGTTATGTTTGTTCTTTCTGAAATGGAAGGTTTATTGCAGAAGGAATTATTTCTTCAATGAAGAAAAGAGAATATTAGATGGACCTATATTAGATTCCATTCTATATTAGATGAACTAGCATTATGTTTTGATTTTGACAATAAAATATTTTGTAACAATGTAATCAGTAAAATTTTGATATTACCTTGAAGAATATGTATTCTTAACAAATAAAGAAGCGAAATATAATTTTTTTTCAAACACAGTTATTCATATTCTCTTGTTAATTTAAATTCACAGAGACCAAAAAAACTGAATTATCAGGAATCTACTAGGACTTAGCTTTTGTTTGAATTGAAAAAATTACGAATAATCTGATTTTCAATTGAAAAAATACAAATGAAAAATATTTTTAGATTTATCCCATACAGCCACAGTGAGCCCTCTTTAAATATTATCACCCACAATACCAGATGAATTGTCTTCTGTATAGGCAATTGTATTACTGATGATAGCCAAATGATTTACCGTTATTAAATTTAAAATACTGTAGAACACCGTACTAGAGAGAGAATGTTTATTCATGTTCTTAAGAAATATTTTCAGAAATGGTATAAAGTATTTCTCCTCCCTTCTTAGCATGCCTTCATAGTGTAAGTAAACTCGGTGCATATACAAGAGGTCCGAGGTTCAAGTCCCAGTGAGGGCATTGCTCATTTTTCTTATCTCCTGTTTCAAAAAAGCCTAATGACTCAACACTGGTTATCTATGAAATGTAGACATTACAAATTTACATACTTCCTTTTCATAGTAACCTTGGTTTGAAAAAACAGCACTGACATTGTCAAATGTTATGAACAGCATTGAAAATGAAATTGTCTAAACAGTAGCTAATGAAATTCAGCAATTTATTCCATACCTACGCAATACAATTTATTTTATACACCATAAGCAGTATAATAAAAATTTGTATTTATTATTATATTAAATTAAATTTTGTAAGAAATTTATTTAAAAGAAACATATAAACATACCGGAAAACTACTCTTTAACAAACATGTCTAAGCGGCACTTCTGCAACTGATTCTAATACTGCATTGGATGCATTATAATTGCCGAAGTGATGGCTGACTATGAATTCTGCTATATATGATTCTAGGTAACAGTAAGGCATAACCTGTGTGTTTTGTTCTGCCATTTCGACAACGTCCATGTTTGGCAACCTGTCCATGTATGTTTTTTAACAACATTACCTTTCCCCACTGAGGATAAACTTAAAACAGCAGCCATTCTAAGCTTCTATTAAAAGAAAATGTTCACTATCCAAGAAACATAAACCATGCACACATGCATCGATCTGTTCGCTCACTTCTTGCAAAGCAAAAATGCATCAATTCCTTTTTCCGGCTAAAACCACCATAAATGGGAAATAACTAATTTTGACTTAAATACTACATGCATTCAAAAAAGCTTGAATAAATATTAAAGATGAAATAACTGACATGGTGTTTAAAACACTCAACCAGGAGAAACATTCTGTCTTCCAATCACTAACTGATATTAAACATCTATAACATACCATAAGGTTAACTATAATTTGATTTATTAACCCCTTCACAATTGCATTTTGCTGAACTAAAAACCCTCTACAGACGCGTGTGTCATATATGCATCAGTCCCAAATATCGGTAGCAGCCAGGTGATGCACTGGTGCATTGCCGCTTGCAGTATCTTCCAGACAGGTGTGGCATATATGCACTATCAAACATGCATGTTCTTTTAGAATATTTTTAAATCACTAGATGGCACTTCATGTCCACTACAGTTAGCTTATTTGAACATATCCATCGTTGACCTTGTGTCTGTACTTCTTTCAGATTCTAGTGATTCGTTTAGATGTATGAGAAGATAATATAAAGTAAACAAAACCCATCTGATGTGCATCAATTCCCCCCCCCTCCTCCAATTCATTTCATCAAGATGAATCGAATACTTTATTTTGCATTTAGATTCAAGTTAAAAAATGTTCAGAATCTCTTGATATTCTGTATTTATGATATTACTGTTACAAAAAAAATCAAAACAATTTTTTAAAAAAAGTGGTTTTTTTGGTGAGTTGCGCTACGCAGCAAGTGGTCACATAAGAGGATTAACTGTTGATGCATATATGACACATCCATTATGAACGGGTTGATCCACTTCGATTATTTCTAAATGTATTTCAAACAGATATTCAACTGATGTCTTAGAAACATTTGTTAATAAATTTTCGGAAAAATTAAAGATAAAAAGAATAAAAAAATTGACATTAACTTAGTTTTAAATATGTACGTACACTTTGCATAAAGTTCTATTGAAATATATCTAATTACAGGATATTTGTGTAAAATCATTCAAACAACTGAAAAAAAAATAGCCATGAAGTAACAACTACATTTATATGACATATGCTACTAATTCTTTTTACATTAGTCTGTAAAATAAGGCAAAAATTATATAAATTTGCCATTTTTATGTTTTCTTTCCTTGCAGTAAATATAAAAATTATAACAGCTATATACTGTAAATAAAAATATCACAATAGTACAAGAGATTACCTTCATTTGCTCCTTTTTTGAGTTGCTTATAATTTGCAGTTTGCTGTACCAAGTTCAGAATTTTTGTTGTTAAGGTGGCATCAGCCAATGGATAAGCTTTGGGGTTTACTTCTTCAGTCTTTTATATATAAAAAAGTAATAAAAATAATTATTATTAAATAAATAATATAAATTCAACTTTATAACACAATAAACATACAAACAATAATAATACCTAATTTATAAATAAGTAAATCAAAGTTTTGATAATTCAAATTTTCCCACATCATTCTTTACTTGTGGTCTATTTATTACACGTATGTACAAAAATATACACAAAATTGAAATAAAATTCCCAGTCCTTTTTAGTAAGAAAAGTACAGCTTGTTCATCTTTAAATGGGATCCAAAGAATTTTCCTTTTAGCTATATTACAATGTCATTTCTGTTTCTTGACACAGTAGCAAGAGGTATTGCTTTCAGGATCATACAAAAGATCCATTTTAAATTTATGAATTTTTCTTGTTATCATTAACCAAGGTCAAACCTTTGTTCTTTCAAAGTTGCATTACTTTAGAAAAAAGGAAAACTTGTTAAAGTATATGCTAATAAAAGTTAGCATAGATGAAGAAATAAGCTGAGTCAATACTCACATAAAAATCATAAATTAACAAATACACATGTAAAGGAGTGATATTACTCCATGTTTTTTTTCCAATTAGTTTATGCATACTTTTTTTTTTTTTAAATAGCCCAATACTTAATAAAACCATTAATTTACCATCTGACTAATAAAATAAGTACTGCCTGATGAATAGCATCTTTAGTTTTTAAAAAGGTAATATATAAATTTCAGATTTAACCTGGCTTACCCCCATTTATTTTTCCAACCTTGTGAAATTTTTCTTAATCTACTAAGACTGCATTTTTATCTCAGCATTATAGCTTGACTACCACAACCCAATACCAGCAAAAATTCTCTTTACAAACTCTCAGTTGTGTCTGCATGATCCAAATTTCTTGATAGAGACAGCTGATTTTTAATGCAGCAGCCTTTCCAGTCCTGAAACAATAGAGCGCATGTGCGTTTAATGCATAACAGACGGTATAAGCTAGGCTAAAATTACTGATTCTAAGGCATATCAGTTAATGTTGCAAATTGCACTGTTCCTTAATCTTCTAATTGGATCCGGCTTATTTTTTGCAGACTGTTAGAGCAATTTTATAAAAATTAAGCTTGAATTTTCGACTATGTCAAAAAGAGTTTCCAATTCTGGAGCTACCAAAGGATCTACAAAGTGAAAGCATGTTTCGATGTCCATCAAACAAAAAGTGGATTTGCTGCAAAAAATGGATAAAGGCATACCCGTCTCAAAATTATGCGAGGAGTATGACTTTGGAAAGTCAACTGTATATGATATAAGCAAAAAGAAAAAGGAAATTTTAGAATTTTTTGTGAAGTCCTACACCCCACTTGCAATGAATAACAGAAAAAGGGTTCATTATGCTAAAAGTGACAATCATGACAAAGTGATGATTGAATGGGTCAGACAGCATTGCAGCGAGGGCATGCCATTAACGGGTTCAATGCTAATGGCTCAAGCCAAAATATTTCATGAAGAAATGAACTTAAACACTGAACGCACATACTCGACAGGTTGGTTACCTAAATTTAAAAATCGCTATGGTATTAGACAATTAAAAATTTCAGGTGACAAAACTAAGCTGATACTGAAGCTGCTGAACAATTTGCAGATGAATTCATTGACCTCATTACTAGTGAACAATTATCTCTAGAACAAATTTACAACGCTGATAAAACTGGTCTTTTCATGCAATATGTACCGCAAAATACCTTGGCAACCTCTACAGAAAAGGCTCCAACTGGTGTCAAAGATTCTAAAGCGAGGCTAACAATTTTAGCGTGCGCAAATGCTGCAGGAACGCACAAGTGCAAACTTTTCGTAATCGGAAAATATGCATGACCTCAAGCATTTAAAGGAGTAACGATTTTCCGCATTACATATCGCGCAAATAAAAGAGCATGTATGACACAAGCATTGATGAATGATTGATTTGAAAATCATTTTATACCCAAGGCTCAGCGACATATGAATTCAGCTGGTTTACCTGATGACTCCAAAAATAGTCCTGATTGTTGACAACTGTTCGGCGCATACTTCACTTAAAGTTTTATTGAAAGATATTGTATCCGTATTATCCTTCCCTCCAAACTGTATGTCTATCATTCAGCCTATAGATATGGAAACATTGCATGCACTGAAATGCAAATATAAAGTACCATTTTAAAAATCTATGTGAAATTTCTTGAACAACACCAACACTATTCAAGACTTTTTGAAATTTCTTAGCATAAAATCTGCTGTGTGGAGCATCGCAAGATCGTGGGAGGATGTGTCTCCAGATACGTTAAAAAATGCTTGGCATAATTTATGGCTAGCTACCATATTTCATGGTGAGGATGATGAAGATGATAGCTGAGAATCTGAAGGTTTTCGCACATCACAAACTAAAGGAGAAATTTTCCAGTTATTGGATTTTGAAAGAAATGTGGAGAAGGGGTAATAAATAAAGATGATATAACAGAAGTTTTTCATTGCGATTACAATGCCCGAATCGTCAATCAATTAACGGACGGTGAAATCTGTAGTATGTTTCTAGATCCAGAAAATACTGCTTCGGATAGTGAAGAAAGTGACAGAAAGGTTATTGAAAATGAAAAAATTTCGATTGACCGCTTAGTCAGTATTCTCGACACAGCAATTGCAGGACTTGAATAGTGGAACTTTGTAACTAAACAAGAAATTATGTCTGTTTATAAAATTAAAGAGAAAGTATTAGCACAAAAAACGAAGAACCTTAAACAACTTACAAACTTACAACAATTGAAAGAAATGTTTAATAAAGTAAACAAATAAATATTAAGCTTTTTTTTTTTTTTTTTTTTGTAAATTGCGATACCCTTTAGATCATAATTGCTTTTTATTTCATAAATTACGTTTTCATATTTTTAATTGTACAATTTCTGCATGCCATCTTACTAGATTTAAATTGATGATCTATAATCCGGAAAAACCCCTAATCCGGAATCGCCGAAGTCCCGACGAGTCCGGATTACGGACTTTGTACTGTAATAACGCAATTCAACTGAATACAAAATTACAACTGTAGCAATATCATAAACAGGCAATCAATGATTTAAATGCATAATTTAAAATATCTGAGCCACATCAGACTTTTATGTTGGCATTGGGGAAAGGAGGCTTTCCATAAAGAGAATCATCACTAGTTGAATTATCAATCACTTTTTAATCATTATATTATTTAAAAACTACATTAGGCCTAAGCACTTGTTATAAGCTTAATTTATTGCTTGCTGAAATTCATCCATATTCAAAATCACAGGATATGCACACTAACTAATCACTGCAGAGAGACTTGGTAAACAGGTTTCTTGATTACTAAACTATGTTAGCTGCTTGTACCTTAGTGTGAAATTTAACTACTTTATTAGTATAAAAATCTAGGAACTTTTTAAACTGAGCTTATACCTAATTAGATGAGACTGGATAGTGTACTCAATCAAGTCTGCTATGATATCGAGATAGAAACTTTCCACGCACTTTTATCAAAAATAATATTTAATGAATACTCAGGATGGACTATCAGCAAATGAATGAAATCACTTATTGGAAGGTTGACAATCAATGCATCAAAAGTTACTGATAGTTATAAATCTGCTTCATTTAATTCCTAACAGGAAGATTCATAACCAATGCATCAAAAATTACTGATAGTTATAAATCCACTTCATTTAATTCCTGACAGCAAAACAGCTCAGTAACTAATACTAAATTCAGCAACTAACATTATGCAAAGCAAAATAATCTTTAAACAGAAAATAACATTCTAACACCACCAACCACTGTTCCAGATAACTTTGGTTTTCAGTGAATTTGTACATCAGAGAAAAGTTATACAGTCAAAAGTCGTTAATTCGGACACCCATAGTCCGGAATGATCTATAATCCGGACCTCAAAGCTACAAACTTTCTGCGCATGCGTCGCGTTGACGCCCTTAAGGGCGTAAGACTTTTACTGCTGCGAATTTGCGTGTGCGCGTGCGCAAAATATGTTTATGAATGCGCGTTTAATGTATAACGGACGGGATAAGCTAAGCTAAAATTATCTAATTATCTATTTCAGTTAATGTTGCAGATTGCGTTGTTCCTTAATCTTCGAATTGGATCCAGATTATTATTTTTTGCAGACTGTTAGAGCAATTTTATAAAAGTAAGCTTGAACTTTCGATTATGTCAAATAGAATTTCCGATATATATTTAATAATATGTAAAGGATATACAAAGCGAAAGTATCTATCGGAGTCCATTAAACAAAAAGTGGAATTGCTGCAAAAAATGGATAAAGGCATATTTTTTGTTTATCTAAACTTTGTTTATCTTTAACACGGCGGGGGTGTGCAATGAATTGGAAGTTGATTTGTCAGCACTATCCTTATCTTAAGAGCAGATGTTTTTATTTTATTTGGCTTATAATTGCTTACTCAATGTAGTATTTCATCTCGATGTACTCCATCTTTGATATGATTTAAATCAAATGCCTCGTCATTATAATTCGCTTCCGATAGCGAAGAAAGTGACATAGGTTATTGAAAATGAAAAAATTTCGATTGACAAATTAGTCGGTATTCTCGACACAGCAATTATAGAAGTTGAACAGCGGAACTTTGTAACTAAACAAGAAATTATGTCTGTTTATAGAATTAAAGAGAATGTATTATCACATAAAAAACGAAGCAACTGAAACAACTTACATTGAAAGAAATGTTTAATAAAGTAAACAAATAAATATTAAGTTTTTTTTTTGTAAATTTTGATACCCTTTAGATCATAATTGTTCTTTATTTCGTAAATTACGGTTTCATATTTTTAATTTTATAATTTCTGCATGCCATTTTACCAGATTTAAACTGATGATCTATAATCCGAAAAAATCGATAATCCAGAATCGCCGAAGTCCCGACGAGTCCGGATTAACAATTTTTGACTGTATTCTGTTCTTTTTTGGTGATGGTTTATTAGTACAGGTATAACATTAT